TCCCTCAGAAGGCAGACGCTCCTTGTCCCTCAGAAGGCAGACACTGCTTGTCCCTCAGAAGGCAGACGCTACTTGTCCCTCAGAAGGCAGACGCTGCTTGTGCCTCAGAAGGCAGACATTCCTTGTCCCTCAGAAGGCAGATGCTGCTTGTCCCTCAGAAGGCAGATGCTGCTTGTCCCTGAGAAGGCAGACACTGCTTGTGCCTCAGAAGGCAGACATTCCTTGTCCCTCAGAAGGCAGATGCTGCTTGTCCTTCAGAAGGCAGATACTGCTTGCCCCTCAGAAGGCAGACATTCCTTGTCCCTCAGGAGGCAGACACTCCTTCTCCCTCAGAAGGCAGACATTCCTTGTCCCTCCGAAGGCAGACACTCCTTCTCCCTCAGAAGGGCAGACATTCCTTGTCCCTCAGAAGGCAGACACTGCTTGTCCCTCAGAAGGCAGACATTCCTTGTCCCTCAGAAAGCAGACGCTGCTTGTCCCTCAGTAGGCAGATATTCCTTGTCCCTCAGAAGGCAGATACTGCTTGTCCCTCAGAAGGCAGACACTGCTTGTCCCTCAGAAGGCAGACACTGCTTGTCCGTCACAAGGCAGCTCACCAGCCATATCTTCTGCCAAATGTTTCCCACGATCCATGTTGGGGTTGTTGTTAGGTGCTATCAAGTCAACTCTGACTCATGGCGGCCTGTCAGAGGCTAAGTTCTCTAGGGGAGAAAAACCAGTCAAATGTGTATACCTAAATACATACAGAGAGATTTATCTCAAGGAAATGGCTCACACAATTGTAGAGGCTGGCAAGTCCCAAGTCATTGGGTCAGATATCAGGCTGGAGGCTTCCCCTGACTCAGGTGGTTGCAGGGGCTGACAAACCAAAGATCAGCAGGTCAGGTGGTAGGCTGCTGGCTCACAGGGCTTCAGGAGCTGGCGAATCCCAAGATCTGCAGGTCAGGCAGTGGGCTGCCTGCTCATGTCCTAAGACTGGAGGTCAGAGGATAATGAGTCAGATGCTGGATCCAGAGAGAGTTTTGCCAGAACATCCATATATATTGGATGCAGGCCGCACCCCCAAGGAAACTGATTGGATTTCAACTGATTGCCTTTCAACTGATTGGCTGCTCACATTACATCCAAAATGAAAGATGATTACATAATATCTGCAAAACCAGTGAGAATCATGGCCTAGCCAAGTTGACACATAACCTTAACCATCACAAGACCCCATGTGACAGAGAAGAACTGCCCATAGGGTTTCCCAGGCTGCAGTCTCTACAGAAGCAGGTTGACAGGTCTTTCTCCATTGGAGCCGCTGGGTAGGTTTGAGCCACCCACCTTCAGGTGTGGAAGCTGCTCTTTGCACATTTCTATCACAGCCCATGTACACTCTGATTTGCACCCCCTTTTTAACACTTCTTGGTCCCTATTGAAGGAGCCCTGGTGGTGCAGGTTAAGAGCTCGGCTGCTAACGAAAACATCGGCAGTTTGAACCCACCAGCCTTTCCGCAGGGGAAAGATGTGGCAGTCTGCTTCCATAACGATTATAGCCTTGGAAACTCTATGGGGCAGTTCTACTCTGTCCTGTAGGGTCACTATGAATTGGAATGACTCCATGGCAATGGGGTGAGTTTTTCTCCTTATTGTATATTATAAGCTCCTTGAGGGATAGGACCGTCCATGGAAAACGTGCCCCCAGTGCGTTGTTAAGGGGGAAGGCCACACCTCTGGGCTGGGCTAGGTCTCTCCCCAGTGGTGGAGAGATTGTCCCTCAGTTGATCAGTCATCCCGGTGGGCCATGGGGCCTGGAAGGGGGCCTGTGACAGGAGGGAAAAAGAAAATTTTCCCCCGGAGGCCTTCCCTTCCCGGGCATGGATTCTGAGGTGTCTAAAAGTGCAGGAAAGCTCCCAGCCCTCCGTGGGCCAGGGTGGCCTCTGCTGGGGAGGAGGGTCTGGGGCCTGGGTATGCACGGACCCCTCAGGGGGATGGGCTGGGGTCTGCGGGCTCTGCGAACAGCCGTATTCCACGTGTGGGAGAGGAGCCCCTTCGGTGCAGTATATTATCTTCTCTACACTACAGTACCCTGTATGGTTCAGCCCGCCCTCCCCATGTGGAGGTTTTCCCTCTGCCGCCAGCCCTGTTGGGGTGGGTATTCAGTTGCTATTTTAAGGGAGCTGATGGGTTTCCTGTACAGGGAGACCTGTGAGAGCTGGAACTCGACGGGACTGCCTTGTTTTTCAGGGTCGTGCGAGTTTTCCGCCTTTGACAGGGTGCAGACTCACCACATTTCTGTCACTCCTTTTAGTGGGAAATATTTGCCTTTTCCTTCTTTGACAGGTTTCCGCCTTACACAGCTTCCAGCTTTCGCAGGTCTTACTGTAATTAAAAAAACCCTGTTGCCATCGAATTGATTCCAACTCGTAGCGACCCTATAGGACAGAGTAGAACTGCCTCATAGGGCTTCCAAGGCTGTAAATCTTTACAGAAGCAGACTGTCATATCATTCTCCCCTGGAGCAGCTGGTGTATTTGAACTGCTGACCTTTTGGTTGGCATCTGAGCGCTTTAACCACTGCGCCACCAGGGCTCCGTTCCTTATAGTAGGTGGTTATTAAATGGATTAATGACCCCAGTCTGGAGCATTGGATAGAAGCTACCAAGGTGAAATTATCTCAGACAAGTAAGTATACATCCTTGCCTTTGCAAGTGGCAAGCGAATGACACTTCCCTTGGTATCAGTTCATCAGAACTAGGCTCGGGGGCTTACTGACCACAATCTTGATGTGAGTTGACAGTGCCAGGAGGGTACTACCTCCACACGCTCCTGTAGGGTCAGAGTGCCTATGTCTGTGAAGTCATGGTCTTATAGTACTCAGAGCTGGTAACAGCCTGAAGCACTGGACAGTCTCTTTCTCTTTCAGCTTACTGCCTAATGGATAGATTGACTGTCGTTGTTGTTGGGTGCCATCGAGTTGATTCTGACTCATAGCAACCCCATGTGACAGAGTAGAACTGCTCTGTAGGATTTTCTTGACTGTGATCTTTACGGACGCCGATCACCAGGCCTTTCTTCCATGGCACTGTTGGGTGTCTTCGAACCACCAACCTTTTGGTTGGCAGCCAGTTGCAAACCGCTTGGCCACCCAGGGACTTTAAATCATCAGGTGGCTCGTTGCTACTGACTTCTCAGTAGGAAAACACCAGAATGATGGAATTCATTATTCTAGCTAATTTCTGACCAGGAAAGATAAGCAGGTAGCAGAGTGCTTGACCCACACTGTTGTTGTTGGGTGCCATTGAGTTGATTCCGACTGACAGCAGCCCCATGTGACAGAGTAGAACTGCCTCACAGCGTTTCCTAGGCTGTCATCTTTATGGAGGTCGATTGCTAGGTCTTTCTCTTGTGGAGCCGCTAGGTGGGTTTGAACTGCCGACCTTTCGATGAGCAGCTGAGGCTTAACCAGAGCAATAACTGCAGCAATGGAGAACCTTTGATTCATCCTTCAGGGATCCTTTTCTAACTATCACTTTAGTTGGATTGCCTTTCCTTGATGCTGCCTTGATGCACCAGTCCTTCCTGTATCCTTGCTGAATTTCCTTATCTCCTGCTTCTAGCCTGTCCTGCTCATCACTGTTCTCAGGCTCGTAGTGAACGGCCCATTTATTGCACATTTCCCGGAGGAGAGGTGCTGATGTTCTGCCTTGAGTTTTGGCAGTGTTTGCTGATGGCAAATTACTGTGAGTTTAGAGGAGGGCAGCTAACGTAAGGAGACCTTGGCTTTGTCTTGTTTAGCTCCATCAGTGGGTCAGTGGGACATGAAGAGTCAAACAGGCGGATGGCATATAAACGGAGAAGACAGCTACCATGGTGATCTCTGGGATCTAGACTCAGCCAGAAGGTGATTCAATTAAGGCAGGGCTTAGTTAGGATGTGTGTAAGGAGCCCTGGTGGTGCAGCGGTTAAGTGCTCGAC